AGTTGGGATCTGGCTCTACCATTTGATGTATTGTGACAATGGCTAGCCGCCCCGTTGTTGTGTGCTTCGTGCCTTGAAGTTGCTTGATAGAATATCCTTACTATCAGTCCTATAGCTGATTAACTGCTGTTGCCATAATAATTATACTCACTCAGCCCACAGTCCATACAATATTATGGCTATCATAGATAATAATATATCCCAGTATATATAATCTCTCCCGCCGCTCCGCTATCCCTGGTATATGGACTGGGATATATAATACTAAAAACATGCACTGAATCTAGTAAACTGGATCCTGATCTTGCGGATATCCTGTATCCATTTTTTAGTAATAGTACTCTGGGATCCCTAATAAAATATTAACTTATGCTCATACTGTTCCCGGCCAGTTATAATATATATATAATACTGTCGGATTTACTACCCGGCCTCTCCTTCAATAAACTCCTTGTTTAACTGTTACTAGGAATTATACTCCTGCTACTGAATCTCAGGAACTGCTTGCCACTGGATCTGTATATACTATTGCTGCTATTCCTGGATGCCAATCAGTACTCTACCATCCTGTAATCTCTTCTCCAGGCGGGATAACGGTTCAGGACGGGACATGAGATCTGTACAGTCCATAGCCCGGGGAACGGTCTTACAATAGGCCCCGGGGGGAACAGCAGGTAGTGGGACTATCTGTAGTGATAGGGCTTTGCTGGGGGGGCAGGAACAGATCTTATTATTCCTCTCAATTACTGCAGGTGAAACCCTGGATTCCTGCACTGCCCAATCAGGATCGCATCTATTACACGGGATCTCATTGACATTAACATCCCGGCACTGCTGTTAACAATATCTATTCACAGTCTTATCTAAATATTTATCCAATATATATTATTGGTATTCCACACCTGTTATTATATCCATATATTCTTGGATCAACTTATAATGGGCGGTATTCTCAGCCTTGGGGGGCGCGTGGGGGATTATCCCGGCAGATTAGATAATAATAGCTTCACTACAGTGGCTATTACAGCCAGCTTGTCTACTCTCCTGTATATAATCTAATAATGTCCGCGGCATCCCAATATAGATGATACTGCAGATATCAGGAATATCTACTTCTATTTCTAATATACTGGTAGCGGCTATTACTGTGGTCTCCCCCTGTATAAACTGGTATAATATGGATAGCTTATTAATCTGCTGGCTATAATATGCTTCATATCCTAATACCCGGGCAATACCTGTGATGTGGCTCACTGCATGGCTATATATGATCACCTTTCCGCCGCTGGCCCGCTGGATCCAGTCCCGGATAAATGCTACCACAGATTCGGTCTTAAACCATGCAGCTGCTGGACAGGGGACCACAGGCTGCCACACCTGATATGCTACATTTGGACAGCTGGTCCGCACCCGGAACATGCTCACCTGCTCCCGGGCATAACCCATCCAACAGAACAATGGGGTCTCCAACTGGGGGGATAATATGGCCGTTAACAATACTATCTACATGCGGGCATGGTTTAACCGGCCTAACTGCTACAACTCGGGCCGGAAATCCTTCTGGTCATTCAATATCATGTGGCACTTATTGATTATAATCCGGTCCAATTACCGGGTCTGCTGTAATCAGTTAATGAATATCTGAAAATTCTCAGTCACGGCGGACTTGGGCATGACCAATATAATTGTGGCCTTGTCCAGCGGCCGACAGCTCTCCCATGACATATATGATATGCCCAATACCTGGCACCGCCGGATCATATCCTGACATAATAATATTAATAGGATCACCACAATTGTCGCGCCCCCAGGCTCTGTGAATACAGGTAACATAAACAACATACTCTTGCTTCCCCCGGTGGGTATCATTACCACCATGGGGCTCTTACTATCCTGGATCGCCTGTAATACGGGGGCCTGTATACCGCGGAACTGAATTGTCTCAGACCTGGTTATCCACTGTAATGCAGTATATATATCCATAATATTTAACTGGTACTGCCATATGGTCCGGTCCTTCTCAGCCTTATCCTCCCACGGGGATCACTTATGCTTGCTGATCCCGGGCCCCAACACCGCGGCGGATGTAAATTCTAAAAACCAGTACTAATCAGTGCTGGACAATCAAAATATGGCCTGGCAGTGCTTGGTGATACCAGCCTGCTCCATGATGCCGCGCGTGTATACTATCCCCACTAAATATAATGAATGTGCTGCCTGTAAATCGGCGATATGGCTTATCCACTGCTCCTTATCCATGCTATTCTCTGTGTCTGTGTTTAATGTGGCTGCTGCCAATTCCTGCTTCTCCTGCACGTTGCTGGCAAACGCGCTAGACAGCCGCATGAACTGCCAGCTGATCCCAATAGCAATGTCCCGGTACACGGCAATATTGATGGCCTGGCCTAACTGTATGCTGGTCTTGCGCTTCAACACCTCACAGAACTGCTCTAATGTCTATATCCGCTGTATACTGGGATTAGGGCCCTATATATATACCTCACGGGCCTTCATGCCCCGGGGGCTGGACCTGAAGGATATCTAACAGCAATACCATGCCTTGAGCTGCTGGATAAATAGTAATACTAACTATAAATACTATATAATTAATTTCTCTATCTCCTGCAGTATATATCAGTAAATGATCTTTATATTATTACTAGCATAAAATCTCTTGTGATATACAGTGATCAATGTGACTATCCCATCTTTAATATATATATTCCACTGTCAGTTGGTCTCCATGTTGCTGTACTGGATACTTAACAACTCAGGGGCCCGGCTAGGCTACCCAGTCACTATATAGATTAATATAGCCAACTTCTCCTTGAACCGCGTGACCCGGTACAAATATTATATTACTGTAGAGGCATGTAATTACTGGGGCTGGTAGTAGACTGTGAACTATACCTGTACAGACAGCTTGGCCTGTACTTGCTGGATTATGTATGACTGTCCCACCACAGGCCATGACATGCAGGAATCCTGCAAAAAATTCTACCCTGCCTTGCCCTGGGTGGGATCATTGTATAATCCCTGCCACAGGATAGCAGGCATGGTCTCCCAGTACTTTACACATAATAACTCGCATAAAATCTCCTGTATAGCCTCCATTAACCCATGTACCATGCCCCGGAAATTGCCTATCATAAACTGGATGTGCTGGTACAACAACCGGTCCCGGTGTATCCATATTACATAGCCGGGGAATGTGGTGTTATAATAGATCCGCAATCCAAATATCCGCCAATCCTGTAATATCTATATAGGGCCATGGGTCCTGCAGACCATGAACTGCTGTACTATCCACTGCACCTGTTCCTGGAATGTCTTCGGACAGGATGGGGCCCCGCTAGGGATATCAGTGATTACTGGGGGGTCCCTACAGGCCATTGGGAATATAGATAGGGATAATAGAGATATCTACTGGGACTCCTTACTACTGCTATATTCTTTATCAGTATAAATCTTAGCTAATGTATTATTGGCATTATTTAATATCTAATCCGCATAACGGCCCTCCTTGCACCACATGGCAATAATCTTCTCAGGATATAGATCTAGCCATAATATCTTTTGTATAATTATTATATAGGCAACCTTGATTACCCAGGACAACATAGGAAGATATGTTTTAGAAATCTGCTATCCATTAGATTCCTAGCCTAATACTGCCATGGTGCATACTAACACACTCTTATACTTATAGCTGTATAGCCACTGGTTCAATAACTTAATATAAAAATCTAAATATATATACTCTATCTAACTTATCTTCTACAGAACCTTCTTGGGATAGTGAGATTCTATCAGCTCGGGATCAGATTAGATAGCTAACTGCTATAACTGCCGCTACTTCTTCCGCTACTAGGGTGTCATGCTATATAATAGACTCTTCCATATATACAGGGCCTGCATGCGGGTAATAAATGCCATAATCTACTGCTATAGCTGGATATACTTGATAATACTCTCTGTATCCATATATACCTGCAATAGCTGATATAGGGTCTGCCCAGTCTCAGACTATACTGCCTCAATATAAATGGCCTGGCCACTGTAGTCCACTGTCCGCTGGCTCTTATATACTATCTGCTCTATGGTATTCTACAACCGGCAGATCCCCTGCTTGATAGGGTCTATAGACTCAGGGTTGGATAGGTCCACACTGTTCAACATGTCCTGGAGAGCAATATCCTGTAAATACTGGATCTATCCAGTTACCTGCAATTATAGATTGGTATCAGTGACTTCTATAACTTAGACTGTCTGCTGGACTTTCTCTGTCTTAGCTTCTTCCCATGCAGTCATAATCTTATCTATAGCTATGTCAATATCTGCCATGTTCATAGGAATCAATAGCTCCTTGGCCCTTGCCGCCTGTATATAGATAAAATATAATCTGGTCTGTGATAGAAATATCTGCTAGTATATAATAATAATATATGACTGCTGTAACTTGGCCTCTTGCTGGATATATTACTCCCGGCGAATATAGCTGCCTCGGGGAAACCGGGACTATCTATAGACACTCTGCCAATAGGCCCGCATGCTATAGATACTGCAGTTAATATACTGATATTAGGAGTAATCGCACTGGCATAACATGTCATTAGGATATATAGATAATCTGGATAATGCCTGGTCTACATGGTAGGGAATCATAACAGTATTAGCCTGCTGGGTAATCCTCTCCCACTGCTACACAGTATTATGGATCTGGACAGTATCAGCATGTTTCATGCCATGGGTATTGCCTTTCAAATACTGAATAATCTCAGGGAGCTATATACCATACTAATATAATCAATAAATAATTACAGGGAACTCTTCTAGTTTTTAAAATAATTAATACTTACAGGATTCCATGGCGCGGGACAGTGGACACTATAATAGAAACCCTAATAATACTGGGAATAGGAAATGGGGAAATAGATGGTAATAGGGAATAAATAGAAATAGGAAATCTGGATATACAATATAGAGAATCTAGAATAGTTAAATTAGTCAGTAGTCTTAATGAATCCTACTATTACCCCTGATCCTCCACGGGGCAATAATGACTGGTCAACTTTCATGTAAATTTGCCTTTCCGGGATGCCCTAATGTTTCATGATCGGCTGGGGTTCCAGGGACACATAGATAAAATGCTGGCAGTGATATAGAATATATAGAATCCTGACTCAGTATAGACTAGACCCTGTCAATTCCTGGATGCTATGGACAGGAAAATACTATTGTTCAATATACAATATAATGGCTCAACTGATAGTCTTGCCAGATGATATGACAACGGGTGATAGGGAATGACTGATCAGCCTGTATCCCAACAAACCCGCAACCATTAATTATAGGCAACTTTCGACCACCACTGCATGTGCAAATCATGGTATAATTATCTCTGAAATGAATAGCAGGTAATATCGCATCCTCCCAGTAAGTGGGGAAAATTTAAAGCCAACTGGCCAACAATTTATTGCTGATATATATGTTTAACGTTTCGCTGATATATACATAAACCCTGAATATGACCGCTTATCAGCACCCGTCTTTTGTGATAAGCACGACAATATCACCCATGCCTGTGGGCTATATAAATATATATGGATGTAATCAATCCTATGGGGTAATCTATGATCACAATGGCTGATTCTTGCTCTGCTCCAACTCCATACATATCCGGCGTAACCAACAAAATAATGTGAATAACGGGTTGTGCTGGCCCTGAACCTCCTTGGTGGCCTGTCCAAAAAACTGTGCCACCTGTTGAATATCCTGACTGTTGGTTCCATGGCTGGCCAATCACCGTTGCCATAATGGTTACACCTGCTCGGCCCACAGTCCATACAACATCATGGCCACCATGGGTAATAATACATCCTGGTATACATAATCTCTCCTGCTGCTCCACCACCCCCGGTATATAGACTGGGACATATAACACCAAAAACATGCACAGAATTCTGCCAACTGGGATCCATAGGCCAAACTGAAACCGATCCGGTCTGGCTATGGTAATCTGACCGACTAACCGGACCGGACCCGGGAACCACATGGATCAATATTAATGTATGGGTTTCCGTGAATAGATTATAATTAGACTGCCTAACATATCCTGATACTGATCAGGACTATAAATCATGATTTGTTAACTTTTAAATCCTTATATATCAATGCTCTCTTCTATCTCTATTAAATCCTGGTCTCTTGATCTACCCTGATACCTTAATCTATCCTGATATGTCTATCCACTGCTTATATCTGAATGTAATCCTTATATATATAAATTTCAACCAATCTTAATACCTACTGTATTCTTGGGAACTAATTATAGGGATATAAAAATATATTGTATAATCTATATAATAGATATATATATATATATTGAATGGGATATAACTCATGGATATAATGGCTTAATAATAACATGATTAATTCTATTCTCTGATAATAGATAACTGCTGCTGGAACTATATATAATCACTATAATTAATAAAATGATATAACTAACTGGTATACTAACCTTAGACTTCTGGTATAGCCTTTCTTAAAATCTTCTCTTTCTGCTGGATATCCTGCTAATCTACCCTGGCTATTCTGCCTGTCCTATCAATCCAGGTGGCCTGCACAATCTTTACTGACCCGGCTGACCTGACTGACCTGGACACTACATAAATGGCGACTGCGAATGAATAATAATGGCTCTATAGAAATAAAATGCCTAATAGGTTAATTTAATACTTATCTTAATCCTTAATACTATATATATCCTGTTATAATTGTTAATAATATTGATTACTGGATATGCTATTCTGATATATTGGCTGTTTCTGATTTTCATATCCCTTCTACTCTGCATACAATCCGGTGTATAATCTTAATTTCCTATAAATGCCACAACTATACTGGCTATACCTGGCTTGATATAAATACTATAATATACTAAAAACCCTAATATCACAGGGCTATATAAATCCTGATATCTTAATCTCTATCTTAATTCCTGAATTCCCTATAGATCTATTTAATTCTGATATACTAATTATCTTGATATAATTGTGGACTGAATATACCTGAATATCCAGATACCTGGTCTGACTAGTCTAGAACTCATGGATTAATCCTTATAAATATATCCATGAATATATTCTAATTAACCTAGTAATATAAAATTATCAATAGACTGCTTAATACCACCTCTATAATAATAACTACTGTACTTAGATATTTGACATGAACACTGTTACTGGACCTGATCTTATATAACCCTAAAAATATAATATCAAAAATCCTAATATTATATGGTTATTTAAATCCTTCTGGATCTGAATAAATTTTCTATCAGTTTAATCTAGAAATAGAAATCTAATTGATCTAAATCTTCCTATATTCTGATTCCTGATCTATAATATTCACTATTACTATTAAATCTTTATATATGGTAAATACTACTGATTAATCTAAACTGTATTAATGACCATAATATTGTTTTGGGATTATAGAAATAAAACTACTAGTACTGTAATCCCTTAAACTTGATAAATATTATATTTCTTAATCAATTCCTACTCTGGATCTGGTACTGGATACTAATCATACTTTATGGACTTAATAGACTGGAATAAACTGATGCCTTGCCTGACTGATCTTGAATAAACAGATCAATTTCTACTAATATATCTGTAAATATATTCTGATTAATCCAGTTTAATATAACTACTAATAGACTAATTTAATGGCTGGATTTAATTTAACTATTAATTCTTCTATAACTACTAAAATTACTGTCTCTATAAACCCTAATGGAATAATATCTGCTATATATACTATTACTGGACCTGGCTTAATATAATCCCTGAAATATTATATTAAAAATCCTAATATCACATGACTATGATCCCTGTATACTATATTCCTGGAAATCGAAATTTATCTATATCTATATATAATTATATTTCTGGTTATTTCATATATTGATCTATCATTGATCTAATATATAATTGAATGGTTAGGAATTAGTTCTATTAGCCTATAATAATAATGGCTGTTTCTTGCGCTGCTCCAACTCTATGCATATCTAGCATAACCAACAATATAATATGAATAACTGGTTATACTGGCCCCGCATTCTCTTGGTGGCCTGTCTGAAAAACTGTGCCACCTGCTAAATATCCTCACTGTTGGCTCCATAGCTGGCCAACCGCTGTTGCCATAATAGCTGTACCTGCTCAGCCCACAGTCCATGCAATATCATAGCCACTATGGGTAATAATATATTCCGATACATATAATCTCTCCCGCTGCTCCACCATCCCTGGTATATAGACTGGGATATATAACACCAAAAACATGCACTGAATCCAGTAAACTGGATTCTAATCTTATAGATATTCTGTATCTATTCTTTAGTAATGGTACTCCGGGGTTCCTGACAAAATATTAACTCATGCTCCTGCCATTTCCAGCTGGCCATAATATATATATAATATCACTGCTGTCACTGGGAGGCATTAGCTTCAACCCACTCCTTATTTAATCACTATACAGTATTCTGTACGCGCTGTTAGATATCTGCTGCTACCTGCTGCTATATCTAGATCCGCTACTGTTGCTGTTTGGCCACCGTGATAGATAGGACCTGGGACATGAATAATGTATGACTGGTATTACTGGTAGGGCTGGCCTCGCGGGTCTCACGGGCTGGATGTATAGGATATGCCGGACTATAATCCACCAGACAGGCCGGGCCAACAGAGGGCCCTGTATCCATCTTAACAGATGAGAACCGTGAATCTATGGGAATTGGGCTGCTCGGGATAGGTGGATTCCAATCAGGATAATCAGGATAATATCCATCGCACGGTAACTCCACAGGATTCTTGTTCTGGCACTGGTGTCATTCATATCCCTCTACAGGGCCATCTAAATACTGGTCCAACACATATCGATGATACCCCATCCCAGGTACAATATCCATATATTCCGTTACCAACTCGGTATTCTGGGGATTTTTATCAAATCCCCGGTATAGATCTTCTGGCTGGATAATGATTACCTTACTGGCATGGCTATCCCGGCCAGCATGCCCACTTTCCTGCGCGTAATCCAATAATAACTGGGGGCTCCTAATATAGATAATATACTGGATATCCAGGATATTAATACCTATACCTAATATACTGGTAGCAGCAATTACCTGGGTAGTGCTCTGTGTAAATTATTGCAATATTAATGGCTTGTTAATCTGCTGACTGTAATACACCTCACACTGTAACACCCGGGTGATCTTGACTATCTGGCAGACCATATTGGCATAAATGATTACCTTGCCCTGGGGTACCCGCGTAATCCACTGCTACATAAATATAATTATAGTCTTAGCTATAAACCACTCGGGACTGCCATGGACCCCGGATAGCTGCCATACCCAGTATACTATGTTGGGACAACTTGTGCGGGCCCGGAATATGCTTACCTGGTTACAGGTATACTCTATCTGCTGCAATAATATAGTCTCTAATGTAGAGGGTAATATGGCAGTTAACAATACTATCTGTATACAGACATGGTTCAATTGCCTTAACTGCTGTAATTCAGGCTGGAAATCCTGCTGGTTATTTAACACTACATGGTATTTATTGATTATAATCCGGTCCAACTGCCGGGTCTGCTGTAATCAGTTAATGAACATGTGGAAATTGTCCGTGACCGCGGACTCGGGCATGACTAACATAATCATGGCTTTATTAGGTAGTTAATGGCTCTCTCATACAATATATGATATACCCAATGCCTGGCATTGTCTTGCTATATCGCTGTGTAATGCGAGTAATGGCATCACCACAATAGTTGTCCTGCTGGGCTCTGCAAATGTGGGCAATATGAATAACATGCTCTTGCCTCCCCCAGTGGGCATCACCGCTACCACCGGGCTCTTACTGTCCTGGATGGCCTGCAACACCAGGGTCTGCACCCCACGGAACTGGATAGTCTCCTGCCCTGTCATCTGCTGCAACGCGGCTGTCATGTCCATGGTATTCAACCAGTGCCGCTGCATGACCCGGCCCTGGTTGGCCTTGTCCTCCCATGGGGACTGCTTCCGTTTGCCGGCCGCCTTAATGGAGGCCCTGTCCGCGGCAAACCCTAAAAATCAATGTTAATCTATACTGGACAACCGAAACATGGCGCGGCACCAGGCAGTGGTCCCAGGATGCTCCATAATATCCCGCGTGTATATCAAACCCGCGGTATAGGAAGAATATGTGGCCTGCTTATCCACAATAGCCTCCATCCACTGGTCCTTGTCCATATCACACTTAGGCGGAATCTCAGGGGCCTTTTTCTCCTACATATTACTGGGAAACGCGCTGCTGGGCTATATCTACTGCTAGCTAATTCTAATAGCAATCTTATAATATGCCTGGATATTAACTGTATACTGTAACTATATCTTGGTCTCGCGCTTTAATACCTCGCAGAACTATTCAGATATCTATGCCTAGTGTATGCCAGGATTGGGACCCCAAATGAATGCAGATGTTGATACTGGGGCTTCAGACATTAATGCTGGCAGGGGCACTGATATTAATGCTGGGATTACTGATATTAATACTGGAGATTTGGATGTCGCTGCTGGCAGGGGTGCTGATATTGATGCTGGGGATTCAGTTATCAATGCCGACGGGGGAACAGACAATGATATAGATGGGGACATGGATAATATCAGATGATAGTGCCATGCCTCCAATTACTGGACAAATGGCAATACTAACTATAAATACTATATGATCAGCTCGCTGACTTCCCGCGGCATATACTGACTGATAATCTTAATATCATTACTGGTATAAAATCCCTTATAATATACTAATACTAATGTAACTATATCATTCTTAATAAATATATTACACTGCTGGTTGGTCTCTGTGTTAACATGCTGCAAGCTCAACAACTCCAGGGCCTGGCTGGGCTACCTGCCCATGATATGCACGAGCACAGCCAATTTCTTCCTGAATTAGGCCACCCACTGCAAATACTGCATGACTAACTGTGGCTGGAACTGTATGGGCTGGCAGCAGTGGATGAAATGTGCCTACATGTCAGGCTCAGCCTGTATCCACTCCATGATCCACTGTAGACCCTCCACCGGCCATTGGGTGCATTAATCCTGCAAAAAGCTTTATTCTATGGTGCTCTGTGTGGGATCATTGTATAACATGTGCCACAGGATGGCAGGGGTCTTGCTAAACATTAATTCCCGGCACAATATCTGCCGGGTGACCCCGATTAATCCATATATAAATCCCCGGAAATTGCCTATAGTGAACTGGATATATTTATACAACAATCGGTCCGGTTATATCTATATCATATGTCCGGGAGTTATGGTGTTGTAATAGATGCGCAACCTGTATATCTGCCAATCCTGCAACATCTCCATCAGCGTGTGTGTGCCGCGGACCATTAACTGGCTGACTATCCATGTTACCTGCTCCTGGAATATCTTGCGGGATGGGTTCTGGCTCTACTGGATCCGGGACACGGGATCCCCATGCCGCATGGGTAATATTAGTAAAGACAATAGGGATTTATATTTGTCCTTCATCCCGCTGCTGTATACGGAATCGGCCTTGATATTGTCCACGGCCGCGGCACTGCATAATATCTATTCAGTATAATTCTGCGGCTTCTGCCATGTCTTGATAATCACTATCATATCAGGATCCAGCCACAATGCCTTCTGGATAATCATGAACCGGGCAATCTTGATCACCCGCGACAAAATCGGCAGATAGCTCTCGGGATTCTGCCAGCTGGACTCCCCCTGGCCCAGCACGGCTATAGCACATATCAGCACACTCTCATACTCCTGGGCATAGTATGTCTGGTTCATCAGCTTAATACAAAACTCTAAATATGCCTGCTCTATATCACTTATTATTCACCGCTTGCGCTCGGGATTGTTCTTCCTGGAATCTCTCTCCCGCTTCTTTCTCTCTGTGGGGGAACCTATGGTAGCTGTCTGCCACAGCTGCTGCCATTTCTTCCGCTGTCGTGATATTATTCCATATAGTGGACTCTTCTCTATGCGCGGCACCTGGGTGCGGGCAATGAATACTAATATCTGCTGCCATGGCTGGACATGCTTGGCCACGCTGTCCGCATCCATGTATGCCAGTAATGGACAATACAGGGTCTGGCCCTTCTTGGACTGCATGGCTTCAATCCAGATAGCTTGCCCGGTATGCTGTATAGTCCACTGGCTCTTGCGCACCATGCCTTCCATGGCCGCCCACATCTGCCGCACGCCCTGCTCCACAGGGTTATCTATATCAGGCAATGGGGTAGCCACCATGGCGCGTAATATCTCGAAATCACTGGGAATAGTGAACTCCTGCAAATACTGGGTCCACCTGGTCACCTGCAATCATGAGTTGGCATTGCGGATCTCTCCGGTTCCAGCAGTCCCAGTCTAGATCTTTATTGCCTCCCACGCGGCGGTGATCTGCTGGATGGCCTGGTCTATCTGCTCTATACAGACAGGAATGTACAGCTCACGATCCTTGCCGCAAATGTGAATATAATAGGATTCTTTCTGTGATGGGAATATCTGCTGGCAGATAACTAATTTATATGACTGTTATAATTCAGCTTCCCGCGTGACCCGTTGCTGGGGGCTGATCTAACCCCCCTGGGGATACTGGATCCAGCCGTGGGCGGTGTGCCAATGCCATTACATACCCTCAATACTGCGCGTGATATACTGGTATTAGGGGTACTCCTGCTGACACAGCAATCCATCTGGATAGATAGGTAGCTTGGAAATCTGCCGCGCCAGCTGATGGGGGAACTTGACCGTGTCAGTATTGGTGGTGATCCCCTCCCACTGGGCCACAGCATTCTGAATTGCCACGGCATCGGTATCGGCCATCCGATATACCCGGTTCTTTAAATAACAGGTGATCTCCTGGGACTATATACTGTGCGCGCACTGGTGACATATAATTACAGGGACAGCATCAAGCTTTTTAAACAGCTGGGATTCCATAGTGGATAATAGACACGGTTGGGGGGAATATAATGAAAATAGAATCATGATAGAACTGGATATATAGGAATCCTTTTCTTAATATGCAGTACTATTACCCCTGAAATAACGCGGGACATAATAGACTTGTTAATTCACGATATCTAATTCTATTCTATATGATTTTACTGGGATATCTCCTGGTTATTCTAATACAATAAAATATATGCTAACGGGCTAGTTAATCTATACTATATTGATATACTGTTTATTTACTTCCAGATTGGACTGGGAATAACCACTGCAGCTGGCTGGGCTGGTAATGATCAGATGTTAATATTAACCCTAATAGATTAGGAATAACTGCTAATCCTGTTATTAGACCAGTGCTAACTAGCCAATGAATTAACATTATCTTGACTTACAGTTTGGACCGGGGTATTGATCAGGTGTCAGTATAAACCCTAATTGGATGTGAATGGCTCCTGGATGACAGTCAGGGTGTACCCCAACAAATTCTATCCACAGATCATGATTAACTTTCCATGACCATCCCCATCACAAATGATTGAGTTGGTATCTCTAATTTGGCCAAGTTACGCGGACAGGAGTTATTAACCATGAGTCTAATTTTAAAATCAATTGACCAACATCCTGTCAAGTGAGACAATGATAAACTAATCTTGGATGAGAGAACGTAAACCCTAACTTTTTTCAGCCAATCCGCGCCCATCTCTCGCCGAGACAAGAACTCTTTTTTACCCCTTGTGGACTAGACTATTCACTAGTCTATTCACAATGACCAACACGGCCATGACTGACCTGGCCTGACCATGACCGACCTGACCAACATGGCCAACACGAGCATGGTCAACACCACCATGACCGACCTGACCTGACCATGACCGACCTGGCCGACCTGGCCGACCTGACCAACCTGACCAACCTGACCAACCTGACCAACCTGACCAACCTGACCAACCTGACCAACCTGACCAACCTGACCATGACCGACCTGACCTGACCATGACCGACCTGACCATGACTGACCTGACCATGACTGACCTGACCGCCATGGCCAACCTGACCAACCTGATCATGACCGACCTGACCAGCGCAACCGTGACCGATCTGACCTGACCATGACCACCATGACCATGACCACCATGACCATGACCACCATGACCATGACCGCCATGACTGACCATGACCAACCTGACCATGACCGACCTGACCATGACCGACCTGACCGATATGGCCAACCTGACCAACCTGACCAACCTGACCGACCTGATCATGACCGACCTGACCAGCACAACCGTGACCGACCTAACCAACGCAACCGTGACTGATCTGACCTGACCATGAACGACCTGACCGACATGGCCAACCTGACTAACCTGACTAACCTGATCATGACTGACCTAACCATGACCAACCTGACTGACATGGCCAACACGACCATGACCACGATGCCCATGACTGACCGACCTGACCAGCACAAACGTGACGGACCTGACCTGACCACCATGACTATGACTGACCTGACCGACATGGCCAACACGACCAACCTGATCATGACTGACCTGGCCAACATGACCATGACCGACCTGACCAACATGGCCAACACGAGCATGGTCAACACCACCATGACTGACCTGACCTGACCATGACCGGCCTGACCATGACCAACCTGACCAGCGCAGCCGTGACTGACCTGACCAGCGCAACCATGACTGACTGACCTGACCTGCCTCACCTGCCCGACCTGACCGACCTGACCAACCTGGCTAACATGACCATGACCGACCTGACCAGCGCAACCGTGACTGATCTGACCGGACCAACATGACCATGACCGACCGGACCAAATTGGCCAACTGGATTATAACTGACTGGACCATACCCGGGCGCACCGATTGGATCATGGTGATAGGAACCGGGTACAGGCCTCCGGAGGTGATATGATTGATGAGGCAGCTCATGGATAATCTAATTAGCTGCCTGAGGCATGATATCATTAGGGTAAACAGACTGCATCATAGCTGGATCGGGTATAGACTACCCGTTCCGGGAGGCTTGGCAGACCCCAACAAAACAAGACCCTAATGAAATCAGACCCGGACCAGTTCGACCACATATGATACTGCTGGGGGAATCGGACCGGGATAGGAAATTAGAGAAAAAAATAAGAAAAATTCAGATCCTAAAATTATGCTGATTGACCCAGAAATGAAGGACTTTGGGGGAGGGTATGTAAAAACCCTGTACCCTCCCCCCCCCGGTGGGGCCCACCGCGGGCCATCCGCCACTCAGCGGCCGCCCTGGGACCCGACCCACCCGTACCCTGGGGGAGGGTACGGTCGAACCTAGAAGTAGGGATTTAGTCAACAAGCCAATGCTTGGGAGCTTTTTGTGCTTAGAACGAAGGCTTCCTTAGCGTACTGCTGCACTAACTTTTGGGGTCTGTATATCCCTTTTACTGCAGGAGATTAAAATATGAGGGCCTAACAAACTGCCACTGTCGCTAGAGGCTTTGTAGGGATATATTTGGACCAATCAGTAATGTACCATAAGGAGTCTATTATTAAGATAGCCTGATAAATTTGGCCTGCCATATTTTACTAAATATATCATTACATGAAGAAATTGCTTAGAGCTATTAATACATGCCTTAATATAAGGTATCTTATAGTAATATAGCAAATCCTTTCTCTCTATATATTGGTATATATTAATTCTATGCCCAATAACCTTGCTTTATCAGTAGAATAATACTGACTCTATCTAGAATAGAGATCTTATAAACCGCAGCTGTTGATCTTACCAAGATTAGATATATATAGTATATAGGCTTTTAAATCTAATAGTATATCTTATAAAGCTATTTATGCTCTGTACTGGTCTGGTCTGGATTATAAATATAGTCTTCCAGCTTCTGTATTCTCTTACTTTGCTTAATATCTTTTATAAGTATAACCCACTTTATCTTACTGTTAGATACTGACTTAGAGTACTATAATAAGATGTTTAATCCACAGAATACTGTAGCTTATGATAATTCTCTACTGAGCAATATATGGTATACTATAATAGTCATCAGGGAAGCATATCGCGGTTATCCTGTGGTCCTTAAAAGAAAGCAAGGCAAAGAAATAAACTTATAATAAAGCAAGAAAATTTTTATGGAGACCTGAGAATTCTAAAGAATATATAGTAATTGGGCTAAGTCCAGTAGCTTTCTAATTTCTAGAGTCTCTATTAATGAACATGATAATTAAATATGGAATCTATACCTGACCCCTTGGAACAGGAGTAGGCTATCATCTTGGAATATGGATATAAAAGTAAGACAGTTTATGGAGAACGCTGCCAGTAATAAGATTATAGAATTTAATAGACTTATATAAAGGAAATAGTGTTATTGAGAACTATAATATATAAATAATATAGTGTTAGAATTATGTTATATAAGATATATTGGTAGACTTACTAGCTAATAGTTATATAGAAAGTATATTGAAATAGTATAATTATACAGTCAGGTTCTTCTATTTATACTATATATATATTGTACTTTAATATATAGTATTATATGGTAGAGATCTCTTTAAGAATGGCTCTACTGTTCTGGACCTTAGACATATCTTATTGCAATATTTTTTAATATTATTGGTGGTGAGCTAATAGTAGAACTTGATACTGTTAGAGATTCTGGTAGAGATTCCCCTAATCCTGCTGGCTTTTTATCTATTCTGGTAACTTATACTTCTTTCCCTTATTATATACAGTGATAATGATAATGATATTAATATATCTTGTTGTATATATTATCCTAGTAACTTTATACAGAAGATTATTTTTCTATATATATATTAAATTTAAGAAGATTGGATAAGATTAATAATACTATTAATACTTTAATAAATAGAAAGTTCTTGCGGAAATAATAGTAAGTCAAGCTAAATAGATAAGCTAATTAGGATACTGTAGAGAGATATTAATAAATAGATGCTACTTAAATAAGAATTAAATCTAGATCTAAAGATAGTGCTGGAAGTATATATATCTTCTTTAAAACTTTAATAGATCCAGTGAAGGAGGTTACTGAAAGAAAGTTAAATATATCTGAGATAATAGACTATTAACCTAAGTTATTAATCTTTACTATTCTATTATCTTTTTTGTATGTCTGTATTAGATCCATGGTTATAGAGATAATAGCTTTAATAGAAGAAGTCTGTAACTTGCTTGGTAAAGATATAATATAGGACTCCAGGTAATCTATACTAATGTTAACTCTATACTTTTATAAGATCTAGGCAGGCCTACTAATTTTGACAGTTCTATTAAGAACAAGAAGAATATTAGTATAGCTAAGAAATTAATACTTAAAGCTACTTATAATAAAATAGAAAAGACTATCTAGAATCTTTTTTTATTAATAATATTGAAAGTAAAGGTATAAAAACTAGATATTTATTTTAGAATAGACTCTAGTTAAAGCTGGTTAGGATAAAGATTATAACTAGACTTTAGATACTCTAAAATAAGTGGTATATTATTTATAATAATATAGAGAATATCATTCTTTCTGTAATATTTAGTTACTGATAGAATATTTAGATACTAAAGATAATAAAAATATTATAGAATTATGTCTATAATATCCTTATAGTACTCCTGAATTACTATAACTCTAGAAGGGTATAAGTAATAAGTAGTAATAATTATAGTTTTTACTAGCAGTTAATAGCTAAAGTATCTCTAAAAGATATTCCAGAAAGATCTATCTCTTATAATTAATAGCTGGTTTATATCTATATTCTTGATAATAGAACTAAAGTCTTTCAGTAAATCTTTAATAATTTTATCTTTAATACTTTTATTAGTCTACTTAATTACTGGAGATACCTATCTTTTTTTAATTCTCTCTATTTATGAATCTTTAAGAGACTGGTAAGCTTTTTTGGCTTTATTAGGGTAATATTCTAATAAAGCTAATATAGATTAAGTAATCTACTGAGTTTAGAAAGATTCAAAATCAAGATATATTGAATACTTAGCTGATTTTTCTAATATAGTAATATATATATGTCCCAAAAGATGCTCAGGTATTATATATAATAATATAGACAAAGACTAATATATAGAGATAATAAATAGTATGTTCTAAGAATATTAATAAGAGATAATTAAACTATAATTTATTAAGAGTAAGAGCTATCTCTAGAGTTTATATATAGAATATCTATAATCTTATTTTACTACTATACACTCTTTTACAGTTTTCTGAAGTATTGGAGCCAATCAGGATTGGCTGATTAAGCTTATTCTCTATCTATAAGATCTATAAGACCGGCCCAATTATAGATATTATATAGGTTAATTAGATTATACTGTTACAGGACAAATCTGCTTGTTATTCTGGATACAGGAAAATATAATAAGTATAGGCAGTGACTCTAGCTTTTTAGATATATAATACTGAGACTGGTATTATTATTGTTATAATTTAGAGAAAGATTAATTATTATTCTCTTCTATAAACTTGAGGACTTATATATAAGATAAGTATTAAATTAATTTCTAATTAATCTAAATCTATATATAATTTATTCTGAATATAAAGCTCTATATATACTTTACTAATCAAGCCTTGATCTATAACAATTAGAAGGCTAATTTAGAAGAGACTAAGATAGATAGATTTCTGCTTACTAGAAATAAAAAGTAAGAAACTTCTGCTTACAAGAAGCTATAGATATAAGAAAGATATATATATTAGCTAGCTATAAATAGTTCTATATATAGAGAGACTAAGCTCCAGCTCTCCAGAAAGTAAAATCTAAAGTATTAAGGGATTATAAAAATTAATCTAAACTAAATAATCTCTTATTAATTTATTATAAGAAATATAGACCTGAAGAATATCTATTAACTATATAAGATATTTAGAAAAGATAATTGTTAACTGTTAGATCTTTAAAACTATATTACAGTAGTTGTATTAAGGTATTATCTTAACACTGCCCTTAATACAGTGTATATAAGTATATATAAGCTATTAACTAATCTTTCTGACTGTTATACTTATTTATATTTTTCTATTAATTAAATAAGATATCTCCACGGATAGTATTGTCTTAAAGTCACGGAAGAAGTTTTTCCAGATAGTAATTAATAATAGACTATTAATCTTTATCTTAATAGTAATAGTTACTAATTTCTAGATATAAGGATTATTATTTCTAAATATAGTTTTTTCTATTTCTCTAATCTAATCTCTGTATTATACTAACTTAGTACAGACTTAAGTCTGGATTTACAAGCTGCTCTTATTAATAAGTATTCTAATAAAAGAGTATCGAGTGATAGTAAAATCTATTATAAAGTATAATAATATTAGTATAAAGTAAATGTATATTTTAAGAAATAATAGAAGACCTGGCTATTAGATAATAAATTATAATAGTTAAATTAGCTATTAGCCTATAAGGATATTTATACTGCTTTTAATACTTTGCTGGCCCTGCCTGTACTGCTGGAACATAGAATAAAACTGGAATCTATTTCACAGGTATTAGCTATTAAAATTAATAAGATTTATTTTTTCTTTTATATTCTACTTTTCTATCTTCTAACTCTAAATAATAAAGGAGATAGTTAATAGTCTAAATTATCTACTCTAATATTGGATATTAATTATAGGACATAATTAGAGTAAGATACTGAGAATTAATATTTATATAATTAAAGCCCTGCAGTTACTAGCCTCTGGAGTTTCTAATAAGAATAAAAAGAATATAAAGAGCCTGGTACTCAGTAATATAGTATTCTTGGCTTTTAGTAAAGCTGAATATATCTCTATCTAGAAAAAACTTAAGAAGAAAAAAGATATTATTTCTTTACTTTATATTTTTTTCTAGAACTTATAATATCTTAAATTATATATAAACTATATTAAGTGACTTGTTATGTCTATTAAAACTAACTATATAGTCAGACACGCTGTTTTAAAAAACTTTAGGTATACTAATATAGTAAATACTGGATATCTAATCCAGATATCTAAATCAGGATACAGGTATATTTTGGATCTCTTAGTTAATCTAGCTAAGTTAGGGTACTGCCAACTCTGACTTTATTCTATATATTATTATATAAAAGTAGCTAAAGAACTAGAGAAAGATGACTCTATAGTAAAGGCTAGCTGTAAAAAGACTGATAAAATAATTATCTATAATATAGCTATTCTTATACAGATACTTAGATTTAATTCTCTATAAATCAGGGAACTTGTTACCCAATTACCTGACTGTCAGATTATAATAGATATACTGATAAAAGTCCAGTAGCCTGAGTAATACTGTTATAGTGATAGTACTCTTAATATTCTTATTAATCAGATTATTAACTGCTTTCACTTGGCTATTCCTCTTGATTATCAGCCTTTGAGTAGATATACTGACAGTCAAGAAATCTAGTCTAGGACTTAGTATAGATATCTGTATACTAATATTTAAAATCTAGATTATCAGTATATTTTCCTGGATTACCTCTATAATAATAAAGCTTTTACTATCTATAAAGTTTCTGTATTTTTTATAAGAAAATACATGTATTTTGCTTTCTTCAGAAAGTTAGTAAATTTAATAGATTTATTAATATACTTTAAAGATTCTTTTACTAGATTATTTTTATCTTTATCAGCAGTATCTATTAATCACTTGCTGCCTGGAGTATCAGTAAATAACACTTCCCTTGATATCTATTTCTATACCTTAGGAATAGATCAGAATTGTTAAATAATAAGAAAGAAGCGACACTACCAGAAGTGGACTAAAAGATAATAGCAGAAGAAGAAATATTATTAAAATAGATAGTCTTCAAGATTTGACTAAGTATATAATATTATAGTATTAACTGGTAAAGACTTATCTCATCCTATACTAGTAATGAAACTGGTCTTATCTTTATTTCAGGACTTGGAAGCACCTAATCAAGATACTCCACTACTATAAGATTTAGAATATTCTTTAGATACTGAAGATAGAGTTCTCTAGTAACTGTAAAAATAGACTAAACAAGAAAGCCTACCTGCTAAAGTAGATACTATCAGGGTAATAGATAATAGAGACAGATATGATAGAGAAGAAACCATTATTAAAGATAAAGACTTATTGGATAAGAAGTGCCAGATAGTTAATAAAGATACTGCTATAGTAGAAGCTGGGTCTGAATAGATAGAAATAGATAGAGAAGCTGAGATTAAAGATAAAGAAAAGAGAGTAATTGCAGCACATATTAAATACTTGGCTAAATAGGCTAAATAACAGTGCCTGGCTTGAGAGATAGAGAAATAAGCAGAGCAGGAAAGACTAGCTAGAGAGACTCAAGAATAAGTAGAGCAGAAATAGCTAGCCAGAGAGGCTCACACAGAGCAGGAATAACTGGCTTAAGAGACTTAGACAGAATAAGAACAGCTGGCTCAAGAGATACAAGAGCATGTAAAGTAAGAACAGCTAGCCAGAGAGATATAAGAGCAAGTAAAACAAGAATAACTAGTCAGAGAGACTTAAGAGCAAGTAAAGTAGAAACAGCTGGTCAGAGAGGCTTACACGGAACAAGAATGGCTAGCTCAAGAGATACAAGAGTGAGTAGAACAAGAATAACTAGTTAGAGAGATACAAGAACATGTAAAGCAGAAACAGCTGACTAGAGAGGCTCACGCGGAGCAGGAATAACTGACTTAAGAGACTCAGGCAGAACAAGAACAGCTGGCTCAAGAGGCACAAGAGCGCGCGGAGCAGGAACAGCTGGTCAGAGAGACTTAAGAGCGAGCGGAGCAGGAATAACTTGTCAGAGAGGCTCAAGCGGAGCAGGAAAGACTAGCCAGAGAGGCTCAAGAGCGAGCGGAGCAGGAACGGCTGGCTCGAGAGGCACAAGAGCGCGCGGAGCAGGAACGGCTGGTCAGAGAGGCTCAAGAACGTGCGGAACAGGAACAGCTGGTCAGAGAGGCACAAGAACGCACGGAGCAGGAATGACTAGTCAGAGAGGCTCAAGAGCAAGCGGAGCAGGAATAGCTAGCCAGAGAGGCTCAAGAACATGCGGAACAGGAACAACTGGCTCGTGAGGCTCAAGTACGAGCGGAGCAGGAACGGCTGGTCAGAGAGGCACAAGAACATGCGGAACAAGAATGGCTGGCCAGAGAGGCTCAAGCGGAACAAGAACGGCTAGCCAGAGAGGCTCAAGAACATGCGGAACAGGAATAACTGGCTCGTGAGGCTCAAGTACGAGCGGAGCAGGAACGACTGGCTCGAGAGACTCAGGCGGAACAAGAACGGCTGGCTCGAGAGGCACAAGAGCGCGCGGAGCAGGAACGGCTGGTCAGAGAGGCTCAAGAACATGCGGAACAGGAACGACTGGCTCGTGAGGCTCAAGCGGAACAAGAACGGCTGGTCAGAGAGGCACAAGAACATGCGGAACAAGAACGGCT